TATATATATATATATATATATATATTCGCCATATTGAGTGTCCTTGCGGAACCGGCAAACCAAGTAATTTTAAACGAATGTATAATGTATTTAAATGAATTCTTTTAGCATTTATTCCTGGTATTTTTAAACCAAAATTTAATTCAGAATCCACTGCTGACTTCTACAAGTCTATGTTTTGCCAAGCGGAAAATATAAAAGCTTATTGAATAATGCAAAAATGATGCAATCATTATTTGGAAGTAAATATTCTTGTGAACATTTTTCGGAAATGAACTCTACGAAAAACCATTGAAGAACAATGTTGGATGAAGCATGAAGTTTTGCTCCTGTCATTGACAAATATTTCATCTGATGTGGAGAAGTTATCTAACAATAAGCAAAAACAAGTGTCTCATTAAATAATTTGCCATTTTTAGCTTCATTTCGTTTGTAGGAAAGAATTTGCATTTTTTGTTGATTGTGTTGTTATCCGGTTATATCTGCAGTAAAATAAGGAAGCTTGTTTTAAGTTTGTTGCTTTTTCTTTAAACTTCCAGGCAGTCTTTTGAACGGAGCGGTCTGAGATCGAGATAATTTATCATAGTATATTTGATATCATGGCCTTCCTCCGAGAGACTATATAGCTTTCTGACCCACTCTCCCCAAAAGGTTGCCGACCTCTGTCATAGAGTATTGATGCCATATATGGACTGGAACTGACCAATCCACACTTTCCAACCATGACAGAAATTAAATGTGTTTTGGAAAGCATCTTTAAGTTGGTTTGTACTTTCTGCCTTGTCGGTCATCGACATGGTGTATTGCTGCCATATATGGCTTAGAACTAACCTAAAAAGTGATCTAAAACTGATCGACAAATATTTCTCTTGATGTTGAGAAGTTATCGAACAATAAGCAGAAAGAATTATTTCATTAAATAATTTACCATTTCTAACAGTATTTCTTTTGAAGTAAGAAATTTGTATTTTTGTTGATTGTGTCACTCGTTATCCTGTTATTTCTACAATAAAATAAAGAATCTTGTTTAAATGACATAACATTGACTTCGTTGTTTTTGGGGGGGGGGGTTCTTCAAACCTCCAGACCAAGGCCGCCTTCTGGACGGAGCGCTCTGAGGTCAGGACTGTGGTAGAATTGTTCGGGACAATACGATTGTGTTTAAAAGTAAGCTTTTGAACTCGCTATTTGTCCAAGTTCCCCCGCAAGGTGGAATGTGGCACAAGACCTGTTTTTAACGTGAGGCTTTCCGAGCGCGTTTGCACAGGCAAGCATTCCTCCTAGATCCCGCATACACGAAGTCGGGTGGCTGTCTATCTACCCAGACAAGATTCTGCTTGTAGGCATAGCCTCGTCTGAGTTCCTCTCCGCCCGAAGGCAGAGAGGTCGACAAGAAGAGTATTGGCAAACTCAGACGATTGGGGCACTCAGTATTTACTCAAGTTCTCCCCACAAAGCGGAGTGTGGCATAAGGCTGGTTTTATGTGGAGCAATTCCGAACCTGTAGGCCCGGGCCAAAATTCTTCATAGACCCCGCATACACGGAATCGGATTTGTCTACCTCCCCAGACGAGACTCTCCCCTTCGTCATAACTTCGTCTGGGTCCCTCCCTTCCCAAAGGCAAAGAGTTCGACAAGCTGAGTATTGTCAAACCTAGATGTTTGGCGCACTCGATCTTGCCACAGAGCGGGATGTGACACAAGGCTGGTTTAACGTTGTATTTTTTCCGAATCGTAGGCGTGGCCAAAAATTCTCCGTAGACTCTCTTAATAACGGGGTCGGATTTGTCTACCTCCCCAGACGAAGCTCTACCCTCCGGCATAGCCTCGTTTCTGCCCAAAGGCAGAGAGGTTGACAATCATTGCATTCCAAACCTATAGGTTTGGTGCACTCGCCATGGCAGCAGAGTTCTCCTGGATATATGTGTTCATGACAAATGGTGGAAATGGATCATACCACAGAGACAATTTGTTATAATATATTTGATATCATGGCCCTCCTCCTAGACACTGCATTGATGTCTGATCCGCACTGTCTAAAAGGTCTTTGATCCCTGGTATGAGATGATACACAATTTTTTCTTTACTTATCCAGCAAAGTCAACTAAATCGCATTCACCTTTCACGGATTTTGTCTGTAATCTTTGGTTGGCTCCTCTTTCATCTTTATTGGTCATGATTTGTTTGTCGCTGTCATTTATCGTTGTTTTCAATAGTCGAGTCTACAAAGTAGATTTTTGCAACAAGGATTGTATTCTATTAAGATAGTCCCGGTTTAAATTAAAATATTTCTGTATCCAATGAAAACCATTTATGAAAGCAACACTTTGCCATAAATATGTTTTCATTTGTTATTCACAAATCTCAAAATCTAGTTATGATTCTCAATTCGTTGTTGCAAAAAATATTGTTACAATCCCCAAAATATATTCAGGCTTTAAATAACCATGGGTTGATAAGCCGTAAAAAAACAACAAATCACAGACTGAGAACGTAATCTTTCTATGTTCAGAGCATATGTTGTTATGACATTTAGCACTGCTCTCAATTATTGAGTGTTTTTAACATCTTTTTTAAAATAATTTTACCCTGAGTAAGGCAATAATGCCGTGGGATGCAAAAGGTGACAATGTTAGAGAATATGGTAAAATATTCTATTAAGCGGGGGGGGTAATAAAAGAACAAGAATTAAAAAGACAGAAGATAATAATTCACATTGCATTTAAAATTTAAAGATCAAAGTTGACAAGGAAGCATGAAGCCGGAAGAGAGAAGTGCAACAGAAGAAACTGTTAGCATATCGGTTATATATCTTCGCCATTTCAACTGTAAAATGATCAGACTTTGCCGCCATCTTGTTTGGCTTTTATTATGTTTTGTCGGTGATTTTGTTTATCTGTAACTGCCTGACACGTATATACTCGTTCCTACTGCTAACCTAAAGAGTTGAACCGTAAGACTTTTTTTCACATTGACCTTCAGATGGTATTCATTTTATTATCGTGCTGACTATATCATTGCTGTTCTAACTTTGATACAGTAGTGGTGTTCACTTTTTTTTTAAATCTTCATTAGAAAGAATTAGTAGAAATAATTAAGGCATATACACGAGGTTAAAAATAGAGTCACAGTATACTCGGACACGACCGCTGAATCCCACGAATATCGAAATCGTGAGGATCAGCGAAAAGTGTACTGAGCGAGTTTCGGCTTTCATTAATAACATTTAAGCCTTTCAAGGAAACAATGTTTATTTAGTCTTTTGACAGATACTCCATTGCAGATAAAAGGTGGATAGGTGATATTTTTATGTTCGCTTTGTTAAGAGAATTAAATCAGATAATTTCTTAATGTTCGTTTTATTACATTAGACTAGATTAGATTGGCATTTTATGTACGAGTTTTGTGTCCTATAAAACGCAACCCAGAAACATTTCCCCAGAGAACAAAAAGATACTCTCCTTTGTCTGGAACTCTCGCCGAGGTGATCTCGCGACATTTTAAAGTGTGTAGAGACAGGATATCTTCTTATTCAGTTTTCTGTCGATGAGAATTCTTGTTCAGGAACCCTCTCAGAATTGTATATATATATATTTTTTAGATGCAGAGCAGCCAGAGAATGAAAGGCGGAAACAAACGAAAAACTGTTATAAACAACGGAAATGATTGAGAACATAATTTAACGTGTATATGCGACAGAGTTCAAGGTCAACCTTGGGTCAAGCGGCTTCACTCTGCGTACTTTAGCTCCGTAACTATAGCAACAGTCCCGATACTTTTTTTTATTAGACCGCGTACATTTCCTGAAATTTGGGATTTTTATTTTAAAAATATCATGTCAGTTCAGAGCGTAGGCAACCAAGGGTCTCTGCAGATCCATTTTCCTATATTCTCTGCGTAATTCTAAGCTTCCTTGGGAAAAAGACAGTGAGGTGGTTTCCCCTTGACTAGTTGTCAGATACGGCTAGAGAACACAGTCTACTCTGTTAGTTATCCCATAGTGGGGAGGGAGGTAAGAAATGAATACATGCCTTTCTCAAGGAGATTTGTATGAAAAATAAGAACGATAGGCTAGATCGAAATTTGAACTCGGTTTGCCGATTTCATTTTTCTGCTCAGATAACGGTTACGACACCTGGTGACCCAGTGAATTTTTCATAGCACTTAGAATATATGCGAAATTTAGCGAGATACAAGTATAATCCATCTTCGACCGCGTCTTTCATTACTGGGAATTTTTTTTTAAGTCAGCCTTCCCCCCACCCCAAATAAAAAGATTAAAGATCTTCGATTTTTCACCTTCAAGGTTGAAATTTTTTGCAGCCAATTTTGACTCAAAACCGGCACTAAAGATTTATCTATCAAAAAAAAAATTTCATCGTAATCGGATGAAAGCTGTGGAAACGCATAAACAACATCCGATCACACACACACACACACACACACACACACACACACACACACACACACATACAGACACACACACATGCACACACACACATTTTAAGAATTATAGATATAGATAATAATATTATTGTAATAATTTAAAGTATTTATTTTTATTAAAGTTTTTATGAAAGATATATATCAAAGAACAGACAGTAAAGAGTAAAACGTTGCTGAGAGTTATAATGGACAGGAAGTAGTGGAGAGCCATTGTCGCCAACAATTTGGACTTAAAAACAGCACTGAAAAATTATCTATCAAATAAAAAAATTTCATCGAAATCGGATGAAAACTGTGGAAACCCATAAACAACATCCGATCACACACACATACACACATACTTACACACACACACATGCATACACAAACACGTTTTGTGAATTATTGATATAGATATATGTTTTTGTCCGTTGTTTTAAGTATGAATATAAAATAATTTAACCAAATTAATTTGAGAATAATTCAGAATAGTTTCTGAAGAGGTGAACGTTATTTGCAAATATGACAGTGTGTCTGGATGTTAGGTAATCGCATAAAACTTATTATAAATTAATATGAAAAATTTTGTATGGGTGAATACGTGTTTGCTTGACCAAACATCTACGCATAATAATGAGAATTACTACCATCACCTTTGCCTCACTATCGAGTCTACTTCTGTCTCTCTATCCAATATTCACTTGTCTCTTTATCCGATCTTTATTTGTCTCTCTATCCGATCTTTATTTGTCTCTCTATTCAATATTCCTTTGTCGCTCTCTATACGATATTTGTCTCTCTATTACGACCTCTTCTTTTTCTATATCCAATATTCATGTGTCTTTCTCTCTGTTTTCGTTTTGTCCGATCTCCATTTTCTATCTATCCACTCTTACTTTCTCTCTCTCTATATGATCTTCATTAGTCACTTCATCGGCTCCTATTCTGTCTGTATATACAATATTTATTTGTCTCTCTATTCTGTTTTTGTGTCTTTATTCAATGTTCATTTGTCTCTCTCTCCTATCTTTTGCTACTACCGGGTCATTTTCTGTCTCTCTATCCAATATTCATTTGTCTCTCTATCCGTTCATTATTTGTCACTCTATCTGACTCTCTTCTGTCTCTCTATCCAATATTCATTTGTCTCTCTATCCGTCTCTTTATTTGTCTCCTCTATCTGTTTATCTGTTTTCCTCTCTATCCAATATTCATTTGTCTCTCTCTATCCGTTCTTTATTTGTCTCTCTATCGGGCTATCTTCTATCTCTCTATCCAACATTCATTTGTCTCTATCCGTTCTTTATTTGTCTCTATATAGGCTATAATGTATCCTCAGTCATCCAATATTCATTTATCTATCTATCTATCTATTTATTTGTCTCTATTTGTCTCTCTTCTCTCTCTCTCTATCCAATATTCATTTGTCTCCTCATCCGTTCATGTATTTATCTATCTATCTATTTTTTGTCTCTCTATCCAGACATTCATTTGTCTCTCTCCTCCGTTCTCTCTCCTATTTGTCTTCCTCATCAGTCCAATCTATCTATCTATCCAATATTCATTTGTCTCTCTATCCGTTCTTTATTTGTCTCTCTCTCTCTTCTGTCTCTCTATCCAGACATTCATTTGTCTCTATCCGTCTTTGTCTCTAATCTGTCTATCTATCCAATCTCATTTGTCTCTATCCGTTTTTATTTGTCTCTATCGGACTCTCTTCTCTCTCTATCCAATATTCATTTGTCTCTCTATCCGTCTCTCTCTGCCCGGTAGACATCTCTCTCATCAGTCCATATTTATCTATCTATCCATCTATCTATCTATCTCTATCATTCATTCTTTCTCCTTTGTCTCTCTATCTCCCTCTCTTCCTGTCCTATCCAATATTCATCTGTCTATCTATCCGTTCCCAGTCATTCATTTTATCTCTCTCTCTATTATCTCAGTCTCCATCTATCTATCTGTCTATCTATCTATCTTAACAGACATTCATTTGTCTCTCTCTCTCTCTCTCTGCCAGGTATCTGTAATGTATCCTCCATCATCCATTGTCTATCCGTCTATCTTATTTATCTATCTATCAGACATTCATTTGTCTCTCTCCTGTCTCTCTATCTGCAATATTCATTTGTCTCCTCAGTCCATCCGTTCTATCTATCTATCTATCTACAGTAGACATTCATTTGTCTCTCTCTCTGGCTCTCTCTCTGTCTATCTATCTATCTATCTATTCTATTTGTCTCTCTATCTCCTTCTCTCTGCCGTCTCTCTATCCTCAGTCAGTCCATGTTTATCTATCTATCTATCTATCTGTCTATCTATCTATAACAGACATTCATTTTTGTCTCTCTCCTCTCTCTCTCTCTCTCTGCCCAATATTCATTTGTCCTCCAGTCCATTTTTCATCATCTATCTATCTATCTATCTATCTTCTATCTATCTATCCAGACATTTATTTGTCTCTCCCTCTCTCTCTCTCTCTCCAATATTCATTTGTCTCTCAGTCCATTTTATTTGTCTATCTATCTATCTCTCTATCTATCTATCTATCCAGACATTCATTTGTCTCTCTATCCCTCTCTCTCTCTCTTCTATCTACTCTCCTCAGTCAGTCATTTGTCTCTCTATCTCTCTATCTCTCTCTGTCTATAACAGACATTCATTTGTCTCTCTCCCTCTCTCTCTCTCTCTCCCTCCAATATTCATTTGTCTATCTATCCTATCTATCTATCTATCTCTCTATCTATAACTGTCTCTCTCATTTGTTTTGTCTCTCTCCTCTCCCTCTCATTTCTGTCTCTATCTCCGTCTCTCTCTCTCTCTGCCGGGTCTCCATCCCATTCCATTATCTATTTGTCTATCTATCTATCTGTCTATCTATCATTCATTTGGGCTCTCTCTGTCTCTCTGCCAATATTCATTTGTCTCCTCAGTCCGTTCTTTATTTCTATCTCTATCTAGATCTATCTATCTATAACAGACATTCATTTGTCTCTCTATCTCTCTCTCTCTGCCCGAGTATTGTATCCTCCAGTCAGTCCATGTTTTATCTATCTATCTATCTATCTATCTATCTATCTATAACAGACATTCATTTGTCTCTCCTCTCCCAATCTCTCTGCCCTCTATCCAATATCCTCAGTCAGTCCATGTTTATCTATCTATCTATCTATCTATCTATCTATCTATCTATAACAGACATTCATTTGTCTCTCTCCTCTCTCTCTCTCTCTCTGTCATCTCTATCCTCAGTCATTCATTTGTCTATCTATCTATCTCTTTATCTTGTCTATCTTATCATTCTCTCTCTCCTCTCTCTCTCTCTCCAGACATTCCTCAGTCAGTCTCATGTTTATCTATCTATCTATCTCTATCTGTCTATCTATCTATCTATCTTTGTCTCTCTCCAATCTTCATTTGTCTCTATCCTCAGTCTTATTTGTCTCTCAGTCAGTCCATGTTTATCTATCTCTCTATCTATCTATCTATATTCATTTCTCTCTCCCTCTCTCTCTCTCTCTGCCGATTTGTCATCTCCTCATCAGTCAATCAGTATCTGTCTTTATCTATCTATCTATAACAGACATTCATTTGTCTCTCTCCTCTCTCTCTCTCTCTGCCCATTTGTCTATCTATCAGTCCATGTTTATCTATCTATCTGTCTCTATAACAACATTCATTTGTCTCTCTCCTCTCTCTCTCTCTCTGCCTATTTGTCTCCTCAGTCAGTCCATGTTTATCTATCTATCTATCTATCTATCTATCTATCTATCTATCTGTTCATTCATTTGTCTCTCTCCCTCTCTCTCTCTCTGCTCTCTGCCAATATTCATTTGTCTCTCTATCTATCTCCAGTTCTTTTCTTTGTCTCTCTCTCTATCTGTGTATCCTCAGTCAGTCATGTTTGTCTATCTATCTATCTATCTATCTATCTGACATTTATTTGTCTCTCTTTGACTCTCTCCTCTCTCTCTCTGCCAGATTAGACGTATTGTATCCTCTAGTCAGTCATTTTTTGTCTTCTATCTATCTATCTATCTATCTATCTATCTATCTATCTATATCCAGACATTCATTTGTCTCTCTCCTCTCTCTCTCTCTCTGCCCGAGTCATGTCTTATCCTCAGTCAGTCCATGTTTATCTATCTATCTATCTATCTATCTATCTTTCTTTGTCTCTATCTATCTCTCTCTCTCTATCCAGACATTCATTTGTCTCTCTATCCTCTCTCTCTCTATCTGCCGAGTAGACATTCATTTGTCTCTCAGTCATCCCATGTTTATTTATCTATCTATCTATCTATCTATCTATCTATCTATCTATCTATAACAGACATTCATTTGTCTCTCTCTCTCTCTCTCTCTCTGCCTATTCATATCCTCAGTCATCCCATGTTTATCTATCTATCTATCTATCTATCTATCTATCTATCTATATTCATTTGTCTCTCTCCTTTCTCTCTCTCTCCTCTCTCTCTCTCTCAGTCATCCAATGTTTATCATCTTCTATCTATCTCAGTCCGTTCTTCTTTATCTCTATCTTTGTCTCTCCCAGTCTATCTATCTATCTATCTTTCTATCTCTATCCGTTCATTCATTTGTCTCTCTATCTATCTCTCTCTCTATCTATCTATCCTCTCAGACATTTGTCTTCCGTTCTTCTTTGTCTCTATCAGACATTCCATGTCTCTCTATCTATCTCTCTCTATCTATCTATCTATCCTCTCCAGTCAGTCTATCTTATCTATCTATCTATCTATCTATTTGTCTATCTATCCGTTCTTCATTTGTCTCTCCTCTCTCTCTCTCTCTGCCAATATTAATGTATCCTCCAGTCAGTCCATGTTTATCTATCTATCTATCTATCTATCTATCTATCTATCTATCTGTCTATCTACAGACATTCATTTGTCTCTCCTCTCTCTCTCTCTCTGCCAAGTATTCATTTGTCTCCTCCAGTCAGTCCCATGTTTATCTATCTATCTATCTATCTATCTATCTATCTATCTATCTATCTATAACAGACATTCATTTGTCTCTCTCCTCTCTCTCTCTCTCTGCCTAGTAGACGTAATGTATCCTCAGTCAGTCCATGTTTATCTATCTATCTATCTATCTATCTATCTATCTATCTATCTATCCAGACATTCATTTGTCTCTCTCCTCTCCCTCTCTCTCTGCCCAGTAGACATGTGTATCCTCAGTCAGTCCATGTTTATCTATCTATCTATCTATCTATCTATCTATCTATCTATAACAGACATTCATTTGTCTCTCTCCCTCTCTCTCTCTCTCTGCCGAGTGAACGTAATGTATCCTCAGTCAGTCCATGTTTATCTATCTATCTATCTATCTATCTATCTATCTATAACAGACATTCATTTGTCTCTCTCCTCTCTCTCTCTCTCTGCCCAGTAGACATGTGTTTGTATCCTCAGTCAGTCCATGTTTATCTATCTATCTATCTATCTATCTATCTATCTATCTATCTATAACAGACATTCATTTGTCTCTCTCCCTCTCCCTCTCTCTCTGCCGAGTGAACGTAATGTATCCTCAGTCAGTCCATGTTTATCTATCTATCTATCTATCTATCTATCTATCTATCTATAACAGACATTCATTTGTCTCTCTCCCTCTCTCTCTCTCTCTGCCATCCACATATTGTATCCTCAGTCAGTCCATGTTTATCTATCTATCTATCTATCTATCTATCTCTCTATAACAGACATTCATTTGTCTCTCTCCTCTCCCCTCTCTCTCTTCATAATGTATCCTCAGTCAGTCCATGTTCTATCTATCTATCTATCTATCTATCTATCTATCTATCTATAACAGACATTCATTTGTCTCTCTCCCTCTCTCTCTCTCTCTCAGTCAGTCCATGTTTATCTGTATCTACTGTGTCTATCCTCAGTCATCTCCCATCTTTATCTATCTATCTATCTATCTATCTATCTATCTATCTATCTCTATCTATAACAGACATTCATTTGTCTCTCTCCTCTCTCTCTCTCTGCCGAGTAGACGTAATGTATCCTCAGTCAGTCCATGTTTATCTATCTATCTATCTATCTATCTATCTATCTATCTATCTATCTATAACAGACATTCATTTGTCTCTCTCCCTCTCTCTCTCTCTCTGCCCAGTAGACATTTGTATCCTCAGTCAGTCATCCATATCTTCTATCTATCTATCTATCTATCTATCTATCTATCTATAACAGACATTCATTTGTCTCTCTCCCTCTCCCTCTCTCTCTGCCGAGTGAACGCAATGTATCCTCAGTCAGTCCATGTTTATCTATCTATCTATCTATCTATCTATCTCTATCTATCTATCTACTATAACAGACATTCATTTGTCTCTCTCCCTCTCTCTCTCTCTGCCAGTAGACATCGTAATGTATCCTCAGTCATTTCCATGTTTATCTATCTATCTATCTATCTATCTATCTGTCTAGACTATTCACATTGTCTTTCTCTCTCTCTCTCCAATCTCTCTCTCTAAGTCTAGACATAATGTATCCTCAGTCAGTCCATGTTTATCTATCTCTATCTATCTATCTATCTATCTATCTATCTATCTATAACAGACATTCATTTGTCTCTCTCCAATCTCTCTCTCTCTCTGCCTTTATTAGACATGTGTATCCTCCTCTCTCCAGTCCATGTTTATCTATCTATCTATCTATCTATCTCTATCTATCTATCTATATCTATCTATAACAGACATTCATTTGTCTCTCTCCTCTCTCTCTCTCTCTCTGCCTCTTCTCTGTCATAATATCCTCAGTCAGTCCATGTTTATCTATCTATCTATCTATCTATCTATCTATCTATCTATAACAGACATTCATTTGTCTCTCTCTCTCTCTCTCTCTCTGCCAAGTGAACGTAATCCTCAGTCAATCCTCAGTCATCTAATCCATCTTTATCTATCTATCTATCTATCTCCTCTATCTATCTCTGCCTATCTATAACAGACATTCATTTGTCTCTCTCCCTCTCTCTCTCTCTCTGCCTCGTATTCATTTTTGTATCCTCAGTCTCTGTCATGTTTATCTATCTATCTATCTATCTATCTATCTATCTATCTATCTATCTATCTATAACAGACATTCATTTGTCTCTCTCCTCTCTCTCTCTCTCTGCCGTAGACATGTATATCCTCAGTCAGTCCATGTTTATCTATCTATCTATCTATCTATCTATCTATCTATCTATCTATCTCTCTATCTTAACAGACATTCATTTGTCTCTCTCTCTCTATCTCTCTCTCTATCTAGACATTCATTTATCCTCAGTCAGTCTCCATGTTTATCTATCTATCTATCTATCTATCTATCTATCTATCTATCTATCTATCTATCTATAACAGACATTCATTTGTCTCTCTCCCTCTCTCTCTCTCTGCCCAGTAGACATAATGTATCCTCAGTCAGTCCATGTTTATCTATCTATCTATCTATCTATCTATCTATCTATCTATCATTCATTTGTTTCTCTCTCTCTCTCTCTCTCTCTGCCTTCTGTAGACATAATGTATCCTCAGTCAGTCCATGTTTATCTATCTATCTATCTATCTATCTATCTATCTATCTGTCTATAACAGACATTCATTTGTCTCTCTCCTCTCTCTCTCTCTGCCAGTATTCATAATGTATCCTCAGTCAGTCCATGTTTATCTATCTATCTATCTATCTATCTATCTATAACAGACATTCATTTCTCTCTCTCTATCTGCCAGACATTCATTTGTCTCTCTCCTCTCTCTCTCTCTGTCTATCTATAACAGACATGTTTCCTCCAGTCTCTCTCTCTCTACATGTTTATCTATCTATCTATCTATCTATCTATCTATCTATAACAGACATTCATTTGTCTCTCTCCCTCTCCCTCTCTCTCTGCCGAGTGAACGTAATGTATCCTCAGTCAGTCCATGTTTATCTATCTATCTATCTATCTATCTATCTATCTATCTATCTATCTATAACAGACATTCATTTGTCTCTCTCCCTCTCCCTCTCTCTCTGCCTCGTAGACACGTATCGGTATCCTCAGTCAGTCCATGTTTATCTATCTATCTATCTATCTATCTATCTATCTATCTATCTATCTAAACAGACATTCATTTGTCTCTCTCCTCTCTCTCTCTCTGCCTCCCGAGTACGTATAATGTATCCTCAGTCAGTCCATGTTTATCTATCTATCTATCTATCTATCTATCTATCTATCTATCTATCTATAACAGACATTCATTTGTCTCTCTCCTCTCTCTCTCTCTCTGCTGTCGTAGACGTAATGTATCCTCAGTCAGTCCATGTCATGTTCTATCTATCTATCTATCTATCTATCTATCTATCTATCTATCTCTATCTATCTATAACAGACATTCATTTGTCTCTCTCTCTCTCTCTCTCTCTCTCTGCCTATCTGAACATTCATTTGTCTCCTCTCTCAGTCATGTGTGTTCCTCATCTATCTATCTATCTATCTATCTATCTATCTATCTATCTATAACAGACATTCATTTGTCTCTCTCCTCTCTCTCTCTCTCTGCCTCGTAACGTGTGTATCCTCAGTCAGTCCATGTTTATCTATCTATCTATCTATCTATCTATCTATCTATCTATAACAGACATTCATTTGTCTCTCTCCCTCTCTCTCTCTCTCTGCCGAGTGAACGTAATGTATCCTCAGTCAGTCCATGTTTATCTATCTATCTATCTATCTATCTATCTATCTATCTATCTATAACAGACATTCATTTGTCTCTCTCCCTCTCTCTCTCTCTCTGCCGAGTGAACGTAATGTATCCTCAGTCATGTTCTATCTATCTATCTATCTATCTATCTATCTATCTATCTATCTATCTATAACAGACATTCATTTGTCTCTCTCCTCTCTCTCTCTCTCTGCCTCTAGTAAGACATTCATTGTATCCTCAGTCAGTCCATGTTTATCTATCTATCTATCTATCTATCTATCTATCTATCTATCTATCTATCTATAACAGACATTCATTTGTCTCTCTCCCTCTCTCTCTCTCTCTGCCGAGTGAACGTAATGTATCCTCAGTCAGTCCATGTTTATCTATCTATCTATCTATCTATCTATCTATCTATCTATCTATAACAGACATTCATTTGTCTCTCTCCTCTCTCTCTCTCTCTGCCTCGTAGACATGTGTATCCTCAGTCAGTCCATGTTTATCTATCTATCTATCTATCTATCTATCTATCTATCTATCTATCTTCATTTTGTCTCTCCCTCTCCCTCTCTCTCTGCCGAGTGAACGTAATGTATCCTCAGTCATTCCATGTTTATCTATCTATCTATCTATCTATCTATCTATCTATCTATAACAGACATTCATTTGTCTCTCTCCCTCTCCCTCTCTCTCTGCCGAGTGAACGCAATGTATCCTCAGTCAGTCCATGTTTATCTATCTATCTATCTATCTATCTATCTATCTATCTATAACAGACATTCATTTGTCTCTCTCCTCTCTCTCTCTCTCTGCCTCGTAGACGTAATGTATCCTCAGTCAGTACATGTTTATCTATCTATCTATCTATCTATCTATCTATCTATCTATCTCTATAACAGACATTCATTTGTCTCTCTCTCTCTCTCTCTCTCTCTCTAGTAACATGTGTATCCTCAGTCAGTCCATGTTTATCTATCTATCTATCTATCTATCTATCTATCTATCTATAACAGACATTCATTTGTCTCTCTCCCTCTCTCTCTCTCTCTCTCTGTGAACATAATGTATCCTCAGTCAGTCCATGTTTATCTATCTATCTATCTATCTATCTATCTATCTATCTATCTATCTATAACAGACATTCATTTGTCTCTCTCCTCTCTCTCTCTCTCTGCCGAGTGACATGTGTATCCAGTCATCTATCCATCTATTATCTATCTATCTATCTATCTATCTATCTATCTCTCTCTCTATCAGACATTCATTTGTCTCTCTCCTCTCTCTCTCTCTCTCTGCCGTGTAACATGATGTATCCTCAGTCAGTCCATGTTTATCTATCTATCTATCTATCTCTATCTATCTATCTATCTATCTATAACAGACATTCATTTGTCTCTCTCCTCTCTCTCTCTCTCTGCCCGAGTGAACATAATGTATCCTCAGTCAGTCCATGTTTATCTATCTATCTATCTATCTATCTATCTATCTATCTATCTATCTATAACAGACATTCATTTGTCTCTCTCCCTCTCTCTCTCTCTGCCTCTCGTGAACATAATGTATCCTCAGTCAGTCCATGTTTATCTATCTATCTTCTATCTATCTATCTATCTCTATCTATCTATCTATAACAGACATTCATTTGTCTCTCTCCTCTCTCTCTCTCTCTGCCTCTAGTGAACGTAATGTATCCTCAGTCAGTCCATGTTTATCTATCTATCTATCTATCTATCTATCTATCTATCTATCTATAACAGACATTCATTTGTCTCTCTCCCTCTCTCTCTCTCTGCCTCTGTGTGAACGTGTGTATCCTCAGTCAGTCCATGTTTATCTATCTATCTATCTATCTATCTATCTATCTATCTATCTATAACAGACATTCATTTGTCTCTCTCTCTCTCTCTCTCTCTGCCTCGTGAACGTAATGTATCCTCAGTCAGTCCATGTTTATCTTTATCTATCTATCTATCTATCTCTATCTATCTATCTATCTATAACAGACATTCATTTGTCTCTCTCTCTCTCTCTCTCTCTCTGCCTCGTGAACGTAATGTATCCTCAGTCAGTCCATGTTTATCTATCTATCTATCTATCTATCTATCTATCTATCTATCTATCTATAACAGACATTCATTTGTCTCTCTCCTCTCTCTCTCTCTCTGCCCAGAACGTGTGTATCCTCAGTCAGTCACATCTATCTATCTATCTATCTATCTATCTGTCTCTATCTATCCTCATTTGTCTCTCTCCTCCTCTCTCTCTCTGCCGATCTATCTCATCTATCTTTATCTATCTATCTATCTATCTATCTATCTATCTATCTATAACAGACATTCATTTGTCTCTCTCCTCTCTCTCTCTCTCTGCCTCGTGAACGTAATGTATCCTCAGTCAGTCCATGTTTATCTATCTATCTATCTATCTATCTATCTATCTATCTATCTATCTATAACAGACATTCATTTGTCTTTCTCTCTCTCTCTCTCTCCTCTCTCTCTCTATCTATCTATCTGAACATTTTGTCTCCCTCTGTCTGTCCTCAGTCATTCAGTCCATGTTTATCTATCTATCTATCTATCTATCTATCTATCTATCTATCTATCTATCTATCTAAACAGACATTCATTTGTCTCTCTCCTCTCTCTCTCTCTCTGCCTAGTGAACGTCATGTATCCTCAGTCAGTCCATGTTTATCTATCTATCTATCTATCTATCTATCTATCTATCTATCTATCTAAACAGACATTCATTTGTCTCTCTCTCTCTCTCTCTCTCTCTGCTCGTGAACGTAATGTATCCTCAGTCAGTCCATGTTTATCTATCTATCTATCTATCTATCTATCTATCTATCTATCTATCTATAACAGACATACATTTCTCTCTCTCTCTCTCTCTCTCTGCCTCGTGAACGTAATGTATCCTCAGTCAGTCCATGTTTATCTATCTATCTATCTATCTATCTATCTATCTATCTATCTATCTATAACAGACATTCATTTGTCTCTCTCCTCTCTCTCTCTCTCTCTCTGTAGACATGTGTATCCTCAGTCAGTCCATGTTTATCTATCTATCTATCTATCTATCTATCTATCTATCTATCTATCTATCTACAGACATTCATTTGTCTCTCTCCTCTCTCTCTCTCTCTCTGCCGAGTGAACGTAATGTATCCTCAGTCAGTCCATGTTTATCTATCTATCTATCTATCTATCTATCTATCTATCTATCTATCTATAACAGACATTTGTTTGTCTCTCTCTCTCTCTCTCTCTGCCTAGTGAACGTAATGTATCCTCAGTCATTCCATGTTTATCTATCTATCTATCTATCTATCTATCTATCTCTATCTATCTATCTATCTATCTATAACAGACATTCATTTGTCTCTCTCCCTCTCTCTCTCTCTCTGCCGAGTGAACGTAATGTATCCTCAGTCAGTCCATGTTTATCTATCTATCTATCTATCTATCTATAACAGACATTCATTTGTCTCTCTCCCTCTCTCTCTCTCTGCCTAGTGAACGTAATGTATCCTCAGTCAGTCCATGTTTATCTATCTATCTATCTATCTATCTATCTATCTATCTATCTATCTAACAGACATTCATTTGTTCTCTCCTCTCTCTCTCTCTCTCTCTGCCTAGTGAACATAATGTATCCTCAGTCAGTCCATGTTTATCTATCTATCTATCTATCTATCTATCTATCTATCTATCTATCTCTCTCTCTCTCTCTGCCTAGTGACAGACATTCATTTGTCTCTCTCTATCTCTCTCTCTCTCTGCCTAGTAACGTAATGTATCCTCCAGTCTCTCTGTCCATGTTTTCTATCTATCTATCTATCTATCTATCTATCTATCTATCTATCTAACAGACATTCATTTGTCTCTCTCCCTCTCTCTCTCTCTCTCTGCCTCTAGTGAACATAATGTATCCTCAGTCAGTCCATGTTTATCTATCTATCTATCTATCTATCTATCTATCTATCTATCTATCTATAACAGACATTCATTTGTCTCTCCTCTCTCTCTCTCTCTCTCTAGTGAACGTAATGTATCCTCAGTCAGTCCATTTTTCTCTCTATCTATCTATCTATCTATCTATCTATCTATCTATCTACATTCATTTTCATTTGTCTCTCTCCCTCTCTCTCTCTCTGCCGAGTGAACGTAATGTATCCTCAGTCAGTCCATGTTTATCTATCTATCTATCTATCTATCTATCTATCTATAACAGACATTCATTTGTCTCTCTCCCTCTCTCTCTCTCTCTGCCGAGTGAACGTAATGTATCCTCAGTCAGTCCATGTTTATCTATCTATCTATCTATCTATCTATCTATCTATCTATCTATCTATCTCTCTCTCTCTCTGACATTCATTTGTCTCTCTCTCTCTCTCTCTCTCTCTGCTATCTATAACAGTTCATTTGACGTCTCTCTGTATCCTCAGTCAGTCCATGTTTATCTATCTATCTATCTATCTATCTATCTATCTATCTATCTCTAACAGACATTCATTTGTCTCTCTCCTCTCTCTCTCTCTCTCTCTGCCTAGTGAACATAATGTATCCTCAGTCAGTCCATGTTTATCTATCTATCTATCTATCTATCTATCTATCTATCTATCTATCTATAACAGACATTTTTGTCTCTCTCCTCTCTCTCTCTCTCTGCCTAGTGAACATAATGTATCCTCAGTCAGTCCATGTTTATCTATCTATCTATCTATCTATCTATCTATCTATCTATCTATCTATAACAGACATTCATTTGTCTCTCTCCCTCTCTCTCTCTCTCTGCCGAGTGAACGTAATGTATCCTCAGTCAGTCCATGTTTATCTATCTATCTATCTATCTATCTATCTATCTATCTATCTAGACACATTCATTTGTCTCTCTCCTCTCTCTCTCTCTCTGCCTCGTGTAACGTAATGTATCCTCAGTCAGTCCATGTTTATCTATCTATCTATCTATCTATCTATCTATCTATCTATCTATAACAGACATTCATTTGTCTCTCTCCCTCTCTCTCTCTCTCTGCCGAGTGAACGTAATGTATCCTCAGTCAGTCCATGTTTATCTATCTATCTATCTATCTCTATCTATCTATCTATCTATCTATCTATTCAGACATTCATTTGTCTCTCTCTCTCTCTCTCTCTCTCTGCCCTCAGTCAGAACATGTGTATCCTCTATCTATCCATCTTTTGTCTATCTATCTATCTATCTATCTATCTATCTATCTATCTATCTATCTAAACAGACATTCATTTGTCTCTCTCCAGACTCTCTCTCTCTCTCTCTGCCTAGTGAACGTAATGTATCCTCAGTCAGTACATGTTTATCTATCTATCTATCTATCTATCTATCTATCTATCTATCTATCTATAACAGACATTCATTTGTCTCTCTCCCTCTCTCTCTCTCTCTGCCTAGTGAACGTAATGTATCCTCAGTCAGTCCATGTTTATCTATCTATCTATCTATCTATCTATCTATCTATAACAGACATTCATTTGTCTCTCTCTCTCTCTCTCTCTCTGCCGAGTGAACGTAATGTATCCTCAGTCAGTCCATGTTTATCTATCTATCTATCTATCTATCTATCTATCTATCTATCTATAACAGACATTCATTTGTCTCTCTCCTCTCTCTCTCTCTCTGCCTAGTGAACGTAATATCCCTCAGTCAGTCCATGTTTATCTATCTATCTATCTATCTATCTATCTATCTATCTATCTTCATCTATCTATCTCTCTCTCTCTGCCGAGACATTCATTTGTCTCTCTCTCTCTCTCTCTCTATCTGCCTAGTGAACAGACATTCATTTGTCTCTCTCCTCTCTCTCTCTCTGCCTAGTGTTTATTCAGTCATCTATCTATCTATCTATCTATCTCTATCTATCTATCTATCTATCTATAACAGACATTCATTTGTCTCTCTCCTCTCTCTCTCTCTCTGCCTGCCGTGAACGTAATGTATCCTCAGTCAGTCCATGTTTATCTATCTATCTATCTATCTATCTATCTATCTATCTATCTATCTACATTCATTTGTCTCTCTCCTCTCTCTCTCTCTCTGCCTAACGTAATGTATCCTCAGTCAGTCCATGTTTATCTATCTATCTATCTATCTATCTATCTATCTATCTATCTATCTATAACAGACATTCATTTGTCTCTCTCCCTCTCCCTCTCTCTCTGCCGAGTGAACGTAATGTATCCTCAGTCAGTCCATGTTTATCTATCTATCTATCTATCTATCTATCTATCTATCTATCTATCTATCTACAGACATTCATTTGTCTCTCCTCTCTCTCTCTCCTCTATGAACGTAATGTATCCTCAGTCAGTCTCCATGTTTATCTATCTCTATCTATCTATCTATCTATCTATCTATCTATCTATAACAGACATACATTTGTCTCTCTCTCTCTCTCTCTCTCTGCCTCGTGAACGTGATATATCTCAGTCTGTACATGTTTATCTATCTATCTATCTATCTATCTATCTATCTATCTATCTATCTATAACAGACATACATTTCTCTCTCTCTCTCTCTCTCTCTCTCTGCCTCGTGAACGTGATATATCTCAGTCTGTACATGTTTATCTATCTATCTATCTATCTATCTATCTATCTATCTATCTATCTATCTATCTCTATCTCTCTCTCTTCATTTGTCTCTCTCCCTCTCTCTCTCTCTCTGCCTAGTGAACTATAATTCATTTGTCTATCCTCAGTCAGTCCATGTTTATCTCCTCAGTCATATCTATCTATCTATCTATCTATCTATCTATCTATCTATCTATCTATAGACATTCATTTGTCTCTCTCCCTCTCTCTCTCTCTCTGCCTAGTGAACGTAATGTATCCTCAGTCAGTCCATGTTTATCTATCTATCTATCTATCTAAAACAGACATTCATTTGTCTCTCTCCCTCTCTCTCTCTCTCTGCCTAGTGAACGTAATGTATCCTCAGTCAGTCCATGTTTATCTATCTATCTATCTATCTATCTATCTATCTATCTATCTATCTATCTATTAACAGACATTCATTTGTCTCTCTCCCTCTCTCTCTCTCTCTGCCGAGTGAACGTAATGTATCCTCAGTCAGTCCATGTTTATCTATCTATCTATCTATCTATCTATCTATCTATCTATCTATCTATAACAGACATTCATTTGTCTCTCTCCCTCTCTCTCTCTCTCTGCCGAGTGAACGTAATGTATCCTCAGTCAGTCATGTTTCCTATCTTATCTATCTATCTATCTATCTATCTATCTATCTATCTAGACATTCATTTGTCTCTCTCTCTCTCTCTCTCTGCCAGTGAACGTAATGTCTCCTCAGTCAGTCCATGTTTATCTATCTATCTGCCTCTATCTATCTATCTATCTATCTATAACAGACATTCATTTGTCTCTCTCCTCTCTCTCTCTCTGCCCTGTAGACATGTGTCCTCAGTCATCCATGTTTATCTATCTATCTATCTATCTATCTATCTATCTATCTATAACAGACATTCATTTGTCTCTCTCCCTCTCTCTCTCTCTGCCGAGTGAACGTAATGTATCCTCAGTCAGTCCATGTTTATCTATCTATCTATCTATCTATCTATCTATCTATCTATCTATCTCTCTCTCCTCAGACATTCATTTGTCTCTCTCTCTCTCTCTCTCTCTCTATCCGAGTGAACATAATGTATCCTCAGTCAGTCCATGTTTATCTATCTATCTATCTATCTATCTATCTATCTATCTATCTATCTATAACAGACATTCATTTGTCTCTCTCCCTCTCTCTCTCTCTCTGCCGAGTGAACGTAATGTATCCTCAGTCAGTCCATGTTTATCTATCTATCTATCTATCTATCTATCTATCTATCTATCTATAACAGACATTCATTTGTCTCTCTCCCTCTCTCTCTCTCTCTGCCGAGTGAACGTAATGTATCCTCAGTCAGTCCATGTTTATCTATCTATCTATCTATCTATCTATCTATCTATCTATCTATCTATAACAGACATTCATTTGTCTCTCTCCCTCTCTCTCTCTCTCTCTGCCTAGTGAACGTAATGTATCCTCAGTCAGTCCATCTATCTATCTATCTATCTATCTATCTATCTATCTATCTATCTATCTATAACAGACATTCATTTGTCTCTCTCCCTCTCTCTCTCTCTCTCTGCCTAGTGAACGTAATGTATCCTCAGTCAGTCCATGTTTATCTATCTATCTATCTATCTATCTATCTACCTATCTATCTATCTATCTAAAACAGACATTCATTTG